AAATATTATTGACATGTACAAAACTTATTTGGCAGTTTACGATAGACCTTCTCAATAAGGATAATGATATATTCTGATAATTAGATAGTTTGAAATCATTATCTAGTGGTATTGTGAAACTAATACAAAAATAGTGCCACGGATAGATGAAACGGTTTTTTGTTCAAAAGCATAAGCCACATTTATAACGGCAGTGAAGTCATAGTCGGAGAATGGTATCTATCGTCTGAACTAAATCCAGAACTACCTTTGTTCTCGGTATCATTGAAAACATCCATTATTTTCACCATCGACTAATTTCCATTTGGCGCCCATCTTGGAATTTTAGTGGCTTATATCTTGCGGCGAATTGTAAAAAATTCATACATACCTACGTCAAGGATGCTTTTAGCTGAAAAATTGTTTTTTTTTATTCAAATGTGGCTTAGGCACCTTATTGCCCCAAGCGTTTGGCGCGAGTCACTTTCTGATCAGCTATTGACTTCAATAGACGTCAAAACGTAATGCAGTATCGTGTACAATAAATTATTGACATAATCACTTGTCTCAGCATATCAACACATTCACTTATATGGAAAACATGCAAATTAATCTAGATACCTAGTTCGCTACTTTTCAACACATTCTTGATATTATCATACTCGCAACATGAGGTATATGAACACAGTTAAAGTAGCTCCCCGAGAATTAATGAGAACAGCGAACGAGCAAGGCCGAGTTGGAGCATGTCAGTATGTCTTGTAGCTCCGAGATATATTGCATCCTCAGATTTTTCTACTGGTACTTTGCACCTGCATCCGCAAGACTACCGGCTAAGACATAAACAAGTACTTTCCTGCAAGGAACCAGTCCTGTGTTTTTCATTTTTAAAGTGGTAATAAGAAAGGCAACTGAACGTTTCACTCCATGCAATAAATCAAACACGTCAGTGGGCTCAATCTTCGGATTTTGGGATACAATACTAAGGGCCGATTTCACCAACATTAATATTATGGACCAATGGGAAAATACCTTATCGAAATGCAATTTGACAGAAGCTGTCAAAGGTCTCTGAATATTAGTGATTTCTATTGAAATATTGGATAAAATCGTGAAAATTCGACTGTATTATAAACAAGATCACTTTTTGATTCCAACATGATGCTTTTGTACAGAAAAAACAGGACAACTTTCATGTATTTTGATATATGTTATAGGTTTACATTTAACAATCCGTTATCCCCATCAGCGAATGGGAATGCGGCAAATAATAGGTCGATTTTCTAGCTGCTAAATCTGGCAGCAGATTTGGACGTTTGTTAATTCCAATTCCTCACCTTCCTTTACTTCATAATAGTAATCATTTATTTATTTATGGGTTAATAAATTTCTTCAAAGCAATAAAAACATTATGTCCTCTCCATCCTAAAACACAGATAATATGTGCAAGACGTGTCAATCCCTACATCTCCCTGATGCATAACGCCATTACTATGGACATAGACAAAAAATTATGAAAAATGTTTCACAGATAATGGCTTTTAAGTCCAAAAATCAAAAAAACTAGTAATGTTTATTGTTTGTCTATTTTTCTTTTTTGACTGGCGGGGATATCTATCTGTCACTCGCAGGGTTGCCAAGTCTAATGACGATCACGTCCCGTGGTGGAGGGTGCGAAATTAATCTTTTACATTTGCTGGTTTTGAATTTTTTTCGTGAAAATTTACTAGGTATCATGATTATAAGCATCTTTGGTAGATTGTTCGATCCGGAATGGGAAAGATCTCCTATTTATGAAAATATTTTTGGTATCATCTAACCGTTGCAATCAGTGCACAAACACTGTGAAGCATAACCCGCTGCCCTATCAATACAAATTTAACATACAGGTCGCCTAGCCGTGGGGATGCAGTGGTCGGAATGAATATCACGGCAGCAACTGATTATTTGGGCATGTCTGGTAAGAACGTACAAAGTGAAACTCGCTAACTTCACAAATTTGAAGATTTTGTACAATTTCTTTGAAAATGATGAAAGATATGTCTGATTTGGCAGGGTAATGTCACAGCCAAATGGCAGTCACTCTTTCTGACACAGTCCGGATCGAAAGATGACGATACTCGTGAAATGTATCGATACTTCTAAATATAGGATCGTATCGAACATCCCTACTGTCAAGATGTATAACCCAAGGTACCGACGGAGCTATATTGCGGCGTCATGGAAATAATTTTAAATTTTCATTTGCATTTTTTCAAGTGTTGTGCAATGATTTTGGGAAAAATGTCACGAATAGTCTTATAAAGCATAGTAGAGTATATTTCAACAATTGGCGGAACTCACTCCGCTGGGACCAGGAGGGTGAAACGGGATATTAATGCACAATCTGGCAACCCTGTCGCACCCTCACAAAATGGCCGCTGATAACCTTCAGAGTATATGTTCTGTGACTGGTACCAAGAGTTGACAGATCCCACACATGTGCCACTCCTTGAAATGCAATAATCAGCTGTATTCAAATAATGTCAAATATAACCTAAAATTTGTACTCGTGAAAAAAGAAAAATATGGCAAATTTGTAGTTTTTTTTGCAGGTTTTAGGTTTGCTGGTAGCTTTAAGGCATATATTTGGGAATTTCTTAATCGCTGTGAATATAGTGTGGATGTTCGTTCAGTTCCTGAACAACGAAAAATATTCAACTTTATGGATATCAAAAAACCTGAATGGTTTTTTGGGAATATCAATGCCATAATGGTTCTGATGAACAAGTAAATGAATGAATGTTTGGAAACGAGCAATATCTTTTGGTAGAGCCTGTCATCAAGTAGGTGCTTAATGGCTATCTGCAAAAGGTTTATAGGAAAAAACACCCAGTGTCACATATCAATTGAAGAAAATAATATAAACATGAATAAAAAATCAACAATAGTAGGATTGTATTGGATATATGGTAGTCAGTCAACGACACAGCCCTTAGACCCCATTGAAATTCGCAAGAGTTGCTGGATCGACAACTTAACAAACAATTAAGTTTAAGACAAGTCAAAGTTACATAGTACAGTATGACAATCCCTAGACTAATATCATGTTACATATTTACACAAAGAGTGTTCGTTCCCCGTCTTAACTTTTCTACTTCACTCCTTGCCATTTGTCTGGCTTCTGGGCCACCAGATACTATAGAATGATGACCGAACTGACTTTACAGTGACGACTGACGACGTGAAGATATAAATAGGCATTATATAGGCGAAAAAAAAAGGAATTGAAGATCCTAGTGCCATCTTTAAGACAGTAGTAGAAGCAAATACTTAACTCTTTTCGAGATGGATTTCTAAGTTCATTTTTTGTTCCGCTACTATTTTATGGCTGACGCTAGTGTCTTTCAGATCCCTTTTTAGGACGCCGAAATACAGCAAATAGGTAGAACTGCAGCGAAAGACTATTCGAAAAATTGACATTATATCATTATGAAAACCAGAGATTATGGTATAAAGGCTGCTGCACAATTGCCCGGGAACGGGAACGAGAACGGAAACGGAAACGAGAGAAAAGTTCAATTACATATTATCCAATACATACATGCACAACAAACGGAAACGGCAACGGTAACGGGAACGAAAACGGAAGAGTTGGCCAAGATTCAACTTTCCCGTTCCGTCGCCTTCTCGGAGCCAATCAGAATGCTCAGAACCAGGACATGCGCATTACAGTATTAACCTAAAAATTGAGTTTTGTTTATTTTGGTCTTTGTTTGGAGTAGTAACGCTAACGCTACGATTTCATTATGAATGACGAATTATTGATTCAATTAGTGGAAAAGTGCCCACACATTTACAATAAAACGTTGAAGGAATACAAAGATGATAAAATGAAAGATAATAGTTGGCTATCAATAGCAGAGTTTCTCAATTCGGAACGTAAGTATGAACATGTGGTGCTTACCGTCCTTAGCGATACGATTTTTTGTTTATAATGTGAACAAATGCGAAACATCTTTTAGCTTTCCACTCATAATGGTATTACAAGATTCCATTTAAATAGCGTAAATTGAAGCTCTTAGTCATTTTGTATTAACTCATTATACGCTGGTTTATGTTAGTGCACAGAATTTATAATTCGACAATACATGATAAAACTTCATAACAGATTTAACTCTTTTGCAGCAGCCATAGTGAAAAAGAGGTGGAACAACCTGAGAGACAGGTTTGTTCGAGCCTATAGACAATACAATACTGTGCTTCCTTCAGGTTCAGGTGGAGGAACACAACAACAACCGGACTTCCCATACTTTGAAATAATGATGTGGTTAATACCATTCATCAGGAAGAGAAAGTAAGTCATACAGTGTAATTGAATCATTTTGAGGTCTACATAGTGCCACCCATTGTAGGCTGGCGCTGAGAGTTCAGTGCGTACTTTTTGTCACCCAATTATTAAACCTTCATTTATAAGTACTTCAATAAAAATTACACCTGAAGTTTATAATGGTCAGGTGGAATGAACTATTTGTTTTTGATTTTTATGAATATACCAGTCCTCTTTGTATGTTAAGACAACTCTATTATATTTCAGGCTGATATCCTCGACTGCCCCAGAAAGTGCTTCAAAAGTGCCATACATTGAGGAGGTTGAGTCTGAACCATTACTAGATGATTATGTTGTGGGATCAGATGGTGTATTGTCACCTGAGCCTACCCAGTCTAGACCTACCAGCTCACATTCATCCAGACCTGATAGTGCATGTGGACACAAAAAGAGCATCCAGGAGTCAATGGCCACAGCTTTACAAAATTTTTCAAAAATATGTGAGAAAAGATTTGGTGAAAATACTGAAAACAGTGACACACATTTTATGAAGTCCATTCTCGATGACATGCAACATCTGCCACTGAAGAAAAAAATTAAATTTAAAAAAGAAGTCATGGAGTTACTAGTTAAATATATTGAGAATGAAGATATCTGAAATATATTATGTCATTCTTTTAATGTGTAGGAATAAAATATACAAAAATGTATACTTGCTACTTTTATTTATAAAAATTGATACTAAAAAATACTACTATGCTTTTAATTTCCATACAATAGACAGTATGCTAGCATATTTCAAAATCTTCCTCTGTTAACATATGCCATTTGCCATGACACTGCTCCAGCATCTGATATCAAATATTCTGCTAGCTTGTCTCTCAAAGCCATAGTTGCACTGGCTGATATATTTGCTCCCACTCTGCCAATTGGTGTCAAGTTGGTGTCATTTTGGATGATTTCTCTCCATTCACCATCCCTATTTGTTCCACCATCATCCTTCAAGGAGTCTATTAATGTAGGTGGTACATATGTCGTTGGTGCCTCAGTTTTCAAATAATTATGTAGGCATAATGTAGCTTTTACCACAGCCTCTGTTGTTTTTATGGAGCATAGCAGAGGAGAGCGATAAACTCTCCATCTACTTGCAAGTATCCCAAAACTATTTTCTATGACACATCTTGCTCGTGATAATCTGCAACAAAATTTGTCAGAAATATTCATTTTGTGCTGTTTCCACATACCTACCTGTAGTTGAAAACTGATTTCTGTTCGGTTAGTTGCCTCCCTGGATATGGCCTCATTAGATATGGTTTCAACGGGAAAGCTTCATCGCCAACAAAAAAATAGGGCATTTCAACATTGCTACTTGGCAATTGATCTACCTTTGGCAACTGAACTGATCCTTCATCTAACTGTTTTCCCATCTGAGATCTCCGAAATACACTAGCATCTAGCATCATGTTCAGAGCCATACGCACCAATATCTGCCCAAATAAATTTATAATCAGCATCACAGCATGCTAGTAAGATAATGCTAAAGTGGTTTTTATAATTATAATACAATGACCCACTATTCAATGGGCATTGAATGTGAACATGTTTTCCATCAATGGCCCCAAGTGTATGTGGAAAATTCCATCTATTTGAAAACTGGTGGCTGATATTAATCCACTCTTGTTCAGTAGGGGATTTCAAGTAAATAGGTTGCATTGTATCCCAAATTGCGGTGCATGTTTCAAAGATCACTTTTGAAACAGTTGAATGTCCAACGCGGAATTCCCATGACAAACTTTGAAATGATCCTCCATGAGCCAGAAACTTCAAAGTCATAGCCAACTTTAATGCAGGGCTTAAATATTCTCTCCTACTATGTTTTAGTAGTTTTGGCTTAAGGAGACACATGATACTGTCAAACTGATCTGGTAGCATTCTTGTATACTTAAAAAACATTTCAGGATCCTTTGTTTTCATATGGGTAAAAATATTTCGAAAAGCCCCTTTCTCATTCCTTTCTCTGAATATTGGTCTGACCCACCATCTATAAAATATACAAATTCCAATTAGTATGTGATTCATTGTTTTTTCAAATTTGGCCTACCTTCTATTTTCTTGTGTCATTAGATACAAAAAGACACATTCCAAAAAAAGAAAGGACAGAAAGAGAAACTGTTCGTCAAAATCCATTTTTTTTTTTGGATAAATAGTCTAAAAATAAAAAAATCAACTATTTTTTACCACAACTGTTTACGAGCAGCGAGGAACTGTCAAAATTGCATAAAGTAAGGTTAGGTACAAAAATTCTGTCATAGTTGTCAACTGCTTCCGATGTGCTCCCGTTAATTGTGCATCTGCCGAAGTCTCTCGTTCCCGTTCTCATTTCCGTTTGCGTTCTCGTTCCCGTTACCGGGCAATTGTGCAGCGGCCTTAACTCATGTGAGAAATTCGGCTAAAATATTTTCAAAATGGTGGCTCTTCCGGTTGTACCGGAAGTGGATACCAACTTGCTACACTTGTACAAACGACAATTAGATTGTAGTATAATCGACTGTACTATAAATGGTCAGCAGGAGCGCCAACGTGCCGTCTTTTCATACTCGACCCCTTCTCCTGCAATAAGGCAGTGTGCTTCCTGCTGACTTTCCGGCCGTGACGAAAAAATGCATGCAGGTGCTTTCTTGACACGGTTCAGTTGCTCCGATTCAATAGACCGTCTTCTTTCTTCTATTTTGCAGACTGTTAAAGTTCTTGAGGTAGCGGTAGATGCATGGATAGATAATACACATTCATTTCATCTTTTTTTTTGCAGCTATTTCTTATTATTATGCAAAGTAGGTACTCTAGACGACTACTGATTCTTTCACTTTACTTGTATCAAAGCACGTTAAGCATATTCAAAACGCTAACAAAACTCTACTACCCTCTAAGACTCACTCTACTTTCAACTTACTTGTTTTCCTTTGGAATTCTGGATCTTCGGTATCCGTGAAAAACCACGTCTGGAAATAAGAAACAAGTGTCAAAAATGTATGCCGAGAGGTAATCAAAAACTTAGACTCTTTAGTACCTACAGCAGGGCTTGTAGCATTGCTTCTTGCAATAACTTACATCCCTCTATTCGTTATTATCTATCAGAGAAGTCCATGGGATCTTTATTTTTCACAATCTGGTAAGCTGTAGGTCTGTCAGGTGTGTCTGCCCAGATAACAGACAAAGTTAGAGAGAAAGAACAGACAAAGAAACAGACACTGCAATGAGGAAGAAATACATTGCTTGGATAGGTGTCTTGGGATTTTTTAACATTCATGGATTTTAAATCTGGAAAAAATCATACTTGTAGCTATAGGATAATTTAAAGGGTGAACCCAAACATTTATTGTTGTTGTTCAGAGTGCGAGCCGCGATCTTGTGTGCTTGTGTTTCTCAACTGTGCAGTCTATTTAGTCAAGTGACAGAGGGTTACTGTGTGGAACAGTAATGAAAACAGAAAGATATAGTAATATAGCCTTCGTCTGTCCAAGCACAGACGGCCAACCAAGGTCAGCTGTTTCGTGCTTTTTTGGCAGCAAGGCCTGTACTTGGCCTCAGGCAGGACAACGAACGAAAGCCGAACAACTATCCTCTATCCAGGATATAAAGTCTATCAAAATAAGACAGCACAAAATACCATCTATTACCAGAAGAGACACTGTGCTTATTCCGATAGAAAGATATCGTTCTGACCTTAAAATAATGATGCAGTTTGCATTTAGCTATGCATTCATATATTTAAACAACCTTATCAACTTACTCATATCAGCGTACACAAGTTTATCTCCAAGATATTTGAACTATTTGCATAGTAGTATAAAAATGCACGTAAAGAGGATTTCCTGCTGTTTACATTGCTTTATAAGATGTTTGCTGATGAAAATCGTATTCAGTCTTCATTCTGTTTGCACTGGACTGTTCTCATGGGTCTATATTATCTTGGTATGAATGCAGTGCCGTCTCTAAAATATCAAATTTTGTAAATTGAAGCTTTGACCTTGAAATTTAAAGATAAAAGTCCTGGGGCTCGGCAAAATTCGAACAACGATTTTTCGGCTTGCGAGACATCCTACCTAACTAAGCAGATGTTCATTTGTCTCGAGAATAGTTAGCTGCTGATGTTACATCAACCCATAACGTTTAACAACAATTGCAAAAATAAATTCTCTAGATCAATTTCTTCTTCGGCTTTTACTCTCCTGGGTTTATCGTTTTACTTCCCACGCATACTAGCGAGGAAGTATTTTAATCGCCAAGGTACTGCTCGGATGTGGAAGTTTCCACACAAGGTTACTACTAAGGACGAAAAAGCTTTGTGCTTTTTTATCGTTTCAGTGTTTGGGTTGAAAATCGGGGTTGTAGGGGGTGGTGAGATATATAACTATTTTTGTTGGCGGCGGTATATTATGCCGTGACAAATAATACTGATGGCGCCATCTGTTGAGCGAGTCTCTTTCTCGCCAGAGCTTCATGGCCAATATCTGCTTTTACGCGAACCACGACCGCACAAGCCGCTTGGCGGTGTCTGTGAGGACCGTGACAGTGGATCGCCTTCTAGATCGACGCGAAGCAACCTCGACCATTCGGGAAGCCCGCTATGTGGCTCCCGATTCTTATAGACTCAACGATGCGAACTATATAACTCGGCGGCCGGGAGATGGAAGCGGAGTACAGTAGAGCAGAGCAGAGTGGAGTATAGTTCAGTCAATGGTGCGACATAAGAATTAGTCAGTCATAAATAGTGGAGTACATAAATGTTCTAGCTAGTCAAAATAAATAAATTAGTGCATTTCTTTTTGTGGAATCCAGTGTTTTAAACCACACCCAAAAGAATCCAGAAAAACGCTACAATACGCTTCCAGCCCAGTAATTTACGCACCTATACATGTACATATTTCACACATCGAAGATTTTCCCCGTATATTTGCCCTTATAACTTAGAGGAATATTTATAGACAATACGCCTGGTCAGTCGAGACGATGCGATGCAACGGCCACTTTATTTCGCCGAATCCTGCCTTGCGTCTAACAGCATTACCGGCATGTTAAGCTATAGTATCATAGCTAGTACTTTGACGTGTTTAACTGGTGGCAGCGTTGAGAATTGGTCGGTACTTTCGGCAAATGGACGGAGGACTATACAAAATGTACTAATTGTATATGAGCCTGTTTGGCTGACTGAACCCATTTACTTTTTATTTTTTTTTGTTATACATGTTTACAGCTAGCTCAGTCATTCCAAACCCCTTCATGCAGACAGCTTTCCACCATAGTATTATTAATCTAGATTTCTCAACTAAGTGACCCCCTTCCCCGCCGCGGAGATCATTCTTTGATTCTCTTTGGCCATTGGTACTCTGGTATCCGTTTAACGTGTCCATACCAATGGCTTGATTTTCTAGCGTTTGTGTGATTGGGCAAGAAAATTCCATTTGTCTTCAAAATTCGTCAGTCTTCAGTCTATCTCTCCTAGTTTTTCTCAAGCATCTTCTCATAGAATCCAATTCGAGGGTACTTATCTTTATTGTCCAGTTTTTTTGTTAGATACCACATTTCGGCTCCATAAAGCACATATGTGCTCCACTCTACTGTGGAAAAGTATTTTCTTTGTATCTCTGCTGATACTTTAATTCCATAATTAACAATGTTGGTTGTCTGTTTTTCCTATGCAATTATCACGTTTATGTCACTTTCACAGTTACCGTCTCTAGTTATAAGTGAACCAGATGAATTAAAAAAATCTAAAATCTTAGTTTACTGTGCCATCAATGCACCCCTCCAAACGATCTTCTTAGCTGGCCGCCACCCTTCATGGGTTTTTGTATCCTTTTTTCTCCTTGACTTTGATATCTGGGCAGCCAGACGTAACAGACCTACACAAGGCTTCAACCAACATCAGAGTACCAACGGATCACCCTAACAAAAAATGTAGAGCAGAAGACGTTGAACGTTCGAGTTGTGAATATTTACATGAAGCAGGGGAACACGAAAACTCGAATTGTAGTAGATACGTATTATCAAAGAAGTGAGTCTGGAATTGTTTGCGGACAAACAAACGTTATACAAGTGTAGAATTATTTTCGCACTTAGTTTCCGTCCTTACTCTCTATATTAACACGGTTGGGGCGCCGCACTGGTAGTTCTCTGAGAAACTGAGATTAATATTAATATTGTATCTATCTGTATATCATATCCTACTCAATGCATCATCTCTTGTTCAGGAGTTGACAGTTTGATGTTAAAACTTTCCGATTTCCAACTTACGTCACTGCCAGGTCCAAAATTGCGTCAAAGATTTTTTAAATAATTCTTTAAGCAGATTCCTAAAATATGTTTTTTCGCCTCGGACAAATTTTTCGAGAAATAATATTTGGTAAAACGCAAATCGACCTCGGAAAATAATACGAAGAAACGAAGAGTTTATGTTGCTAGAGTACCTAAATATCCTTCAAAGGCTTATTGACAAACTCCCAAAGCTTCTTTTGGGTTGTTGTTTGTAAACCTTCATTTTTACTTCCCAAGCCATAGGCGAGGCGGTAGTGTAATTAACTACAATTAATTTCTGAAATGAGATATGTTTTTTGGTTGTTATATGACATCTATATCTTTAAAATATGCTGTTGATGCGCACTCTGGAAAACCTTGACATAAGGAGATGGTTGGAGTTATAATGGCCGCCCTGTAGAACACTTAAAACTATGTCACTCATTTCCGTCGGTGTGTATATCAAGAAAATTGGAAATTACCGCTCGGATTTTGATAAAATTTCACAAAACGTTACAACGAGTACTATGCCAAGAATAAAGAAGCTTTATAGTTTTTGAAAATCGGTCCAGTGGCGGCGGAGCTAAGGGCAAAAAACCAATAAATAAAAAATTCTCAAACTTCGTTTTTTGACGTGACATGATCATTTTTGAAAAAAAATAACTAATGGACAATCACCAGTCCTCTGCGAATTATACAGATATTTCATAGAATCAAGAATCTTATCTGTTTTAACCCGGCTAGCTCTGAATAAGGGTAATGTTTTCAGTACCATCTCGACACGCAAATAACACCAGGGCGTACGAATGTTGTCCTTGATTATTTAAAAAAAAATAAATTAAACTGACATTGCATATTCTTCAGTCATATTCATTATATTACACGAAGGTTTCCATAGCCGGCCAATAATAAACATATCAGAACGTAAGAAAGTTGATTCAGATACATCGTGCAAATTCAAAGTCCATAATTTTGATTTTTGAAAAATCAACAACCGTTTTTTTTTTCACTGATATTATTTCTCCTCTACGGCCTTA